GCTTCTAAGGCCCCAGGCATTATATAATGAGCTAGAACTTAGAACAGAACCCTAAACGTGATACTAGGTCAACTAACTGGGATGTCTGTCCTATGGACTCTCCTGGGGTGGCGCTGTAGGATTAGCACTGGACTGTGAACCACAGGTCGGCAGTTCAAACCCACCAGCCAGTCCTTGGAAACCCTCTAAAGGATCGCTATGAGTCAGAACTCACTCAACAGCACTTAACAACATGAAGCTATGACCCTAAACCAGGAAACAAAGAGCACCTTAATTCCAGAGACAAAAGGCCAGAGTGCTTTGCCCCTAACCTCCAACCTTTTGGACAGTACCCTAATGTATTAATTTAACCATGATTCTAATGTATGAACTGATTTCATCCCCCAATGCTTGTTGCCCGATACAGTACATCCTTTGATTTCCTGATTATTGCTTCTATTCATAAAAGCAGTAGATTTCATTGAAAAAGGAAATCCTCGACAACTGTAATCTTTTCTCCATTTATCATGATGTTGCTTATGGGTCCAGTTGTAAGGACTTTTGTTTTCTTTTTGTTGAGGTATAATCTGTACTAAAGGCTGTAGCCTTTATCTTCATCAGTAAATGCTTCAAGTCCTCCTCACTTTCAGTAAGCAAGGTGGAATCATCTGTACATTGCAGTTTCTTAATGAGTCAGTCTGTCCCCGACCTGATGCTGCATTCTTCTTCACATAGTCCAGTTTATTTGCAGGTATTTGCTCAGCAGAGGAATTGAATAAGTATGATGAAAGAATGCAGCTCTGATGCACACCTTTCCTGATTCTAAACCATTCACTATCCCCTTGTTTTGTTTGAATGACTGCCTCTTGGTCTATGTATAGATACCTCATGAGCACAACGAAGCATTTTGGAACTCTTCTTCTTGGAAATGTTCTTCATAGTTTGTTATGATCCACACAGCTGAATGTCTTTGCAGAGTCAATAAAACAGATAAATATCTTTCTGGTATTTTCTGCTTTCAGCCAAGATTCCTCTGATATCAGCAGTGATATTCCTTGTTCTACACCCTCTTCTGAATTCTGCTTGAATTTCTGGCACTTCCTTGTCAATGTACTGCTGCAACTGTTTCTGAGTTTTACTTAAAACTTTGACATAAAAATTTTACTTGCATGTGATATTAGTGATGTTCAATAATTTCCACATTCCATTGGGTCTCCTTTCTTTGGACTGGGCACAAGTATGGATCTCTTCCAGTCGGGTGGTGAGGTAGCTGTTGTCCACATTTCTTGGCACAGACAAGTGGGTGCCTCTAGTGCTACACACGTTTGTTGGAACATTTCAGTTTCTATTCCTTCAATTCCTGGAGCGCTGTTTCTCAGCAGTGCAGCTTAGTTAAGTACCATTTGTTCTTAATGATAGGCTACCTCCTGAAATACTTGAATGTTGACCAATTCTTTTTGACATACTGACTCTGTGTATTTCTTCCAGCTTCTTTGGATGCTTCCTGCATTGTTCAACATTTTCCCCATAGAAAATACTGCAGCTCGAGACTTGGATGTTCTAGTCCTTTCAGCTTGAGAAACGCTGAATACGTTCTTCCCTTTTGGTTTTCTAACTCCAGGTCTTTTGCACATTTCAGTATAATACTTGACTTTGTCTTCTCTTACCACCTTTTGAAATCTTAGCTTTTATTTCCTCATTTCTTCCTTTTGTTTGAACTCTTCTATGTTCAAGAGCAAGTGTCAGTCTCTTCTGAAACCCACTTTGGTCTTGTCTTTCTTTCCTGTCTTTTTAATGGACTAATGATTTATCTATGTGTGATGTCTTTGATGTTATCCCACAACTCCTTTGGTCACATGTATTCTGGACATGGCCTCTGAATTCTGGTTGTATATACTCAAGGCTGAGGAGCTCTGGTAGCGTAGTGGTTACGAATCACGCTGCTAATCTCATGGTCAGCAGTGCGAAACTACCAGCTGTTCCGCGGGAGAAAGATGAGGCTTTCTGCTCCTGTAAAGATTTACAGCCTCGGAAACCCTGTACAGGGTCACTATGAGTCGAACCGACTCCACAGCACATAACCACCACCACCACCACCACCACCACCATATTCAAGGCTATGTTTTGGTTCTCATGAACTTGTTTTAATTTTTTCAGCTTCATCTTGAACTTGCATGTGAGCACTTGATGGCCTGTTGTGCACTTGGCCTCTGGCCTTGCTCTCCTGTTGAGCTTCTCGATGATCTTTTTTTTTTTCTTTTTTTCCTTAAACAGATGTAGTTTATTTGCTGTGTATTAAATCTAGTGAGGTCCACATGTACAGTCACCGCTTTTGTGGTAGAAATGGCATTTGCAGTGAATAAATTGTTGGTCACTATGGGGTCACTCTGAGTGGACTCAGTGGCCAAGGGTTTGGTTTTGCTCTTCATTAGTCTTTTGGCATGGACAGTTGCTTGAAGAGTTGAGCACATCAGTAGTCTAGTGAAAAGCAAGGTAAGTGACTGAGTGGTTTTCCTTGGCTCTTGATGAGTCATGAGATAGTTCTGATATTGCTTAGTTGTTGTTTGAGTAACCTCTACTGAATTTGAAATTCCGGCAGAATTGGATTCTGTGACTAGTCTGTGTGAAACAAGTTCAGGCCAAAAAATTTTTTTTTAAAGTTGTTGTTGTTATGTGCCTTGGAGTCGGTTCTGACTCATAGCGACCCTGTACAGGGTTTCTGAGGCTATACATCTTTATGGGAGCAGAACGCCTCATCTTTCTCCTGCGGAACAGCTGGTAGTTTCGAACTGCTGACCTTGCGGTTCGCAGCCCAATTCGTAACTACTGTGCTACCAGATCGCCTTTTAAAAGTTGAGAAAAGAGTAATTCAGTAATCCTGAAGTAGAATCTGCTAAGATGTGTTACAGGTGGTGATGTGATTTTGTGTGGGACTGAAAAAGAAAGCTTAGTTGGAAAGATTTACAAAGTTTGTGAAAAGGTAGGGGTTTAAAACCTATATTCATTGTTTTATTTACCAGCAGATGCTTGAGAGAATTTTTGAATCTATTATGTGACATGGAACCTGTAGTGTAAACAAACAGTAATTTCATTCACTCTTGTGAACTCTTAACCCTTTTTAGTTCCATAAATTTTTGTCAGAAATCGAAGCTGAGTATCCTTAATTGTTCTACAATGAACTAAACTCGTTCAATGGTGTAGCATTTCGCTGTTGCAGTGCAACTTCTTTCTTCTTTTGAACTTCAGACTGAGATTGAAATTTTCCTAAATGCGAAGAATTGCTCTCAACCACGATTTTTCATCCTTTGAAAGTTTTGAAAATTAGCTTTTGCAGCAGACTTGATTTTTTCTTAATGAATTCAACCTAAAAGTACAAGTTAAAACCATGCTTATTTGTAAGGCTAATGCGGCAGGAAGCCATTGCAGTGACAGCTAATGGTATTTGAAGCCCAAGCAACAGCAAACTCAGTTAAACAGCTTCCTGTGCTTTCAGCAGGTAAAGAAGTGAAGTCGCCATTCTCACCCACGTTTGCAGCAGATCGGTTTTCTGAGCTCAAAGTATGTGCTCAGCACTGTTGTCCAGAGGGGAAAGGCAACTCCACATTGGAATCCACATTGGATGAATGCACGTCCATATGCACGTCCATCTAACTCTTGGTTGGAAGTATGAATCCAGAATGACATGCTACAGGCAGATATTTAGAGAAGAGTAAATTCTTTAAATGCTTTTCAAGCACAGAGTCTGCTGAAGTTGGGTCATATGCTTATGAATTAATACCAGTATCCAGCAGTATCTGTCTATTGAAAGGCAACTTTTAAAAATGAAATGCAAACAAAATCTTATTACATCAGCATCAACACATGAACATTTGCAATGGATTTTGATAATTGTTGTTGTTAAGTGCTGTTGAGTCGGATCCGACACATAGCGACCCTGTATTGAGTTTCCGAGGAGCAGCTGGTGAGCTTGAACTGCTGACCTTACAGTTTAAACGACTTTGCAGTCTGGCACATTAACCCACAGCGCCACAGATTTTGATGATGGGAGCACTAATCTTGGACCCCAACTCTATGAAACGTTATACCTTTAAAAAAAGAACTCTACTCTTCTCATTAGTTGGCCTCTGCCATGGGGGCTTCAAAAAGTTTATGGAAAAAAGGAATGAAAAGATCATGGCATTTGCTCATGAATGTTTCGAAGTCCCATCATAGTACACTAAATTGGACTGAATTATTCCTAGTGTGCTGGAGTCCTGGTAAGCACTAGACTGCGAGGTCGGTTTGAACAACAAGGTTGGTGGTTCAGACTCACCAGCCGCTCCTCAGAAACCTAGACAGGGTTGCTATGAGTTGGAATTGACTTGACGGCACTTTAACAACAACAACAACAACAACATTACTATCATGATAGTGTTGTGAATTTCATCACTAAACATGGTAGCTATTGGTTGTCTTGGTATCCAGATACCTGCATTATGTTCTCCATTTTTCCTATGAGAAATGTTTGTTTATCGTTTACGCTTATCAAGCTATTTTTATTCTGCATAATTGTGTACACCTGCATGTTTGCAGAACGCGTGCTTCGGGTCTCCCAATGATTTGAGAAAGGAAAGTTCGGAGTTGCTGCCTTTCTCCTGGGTTTATTGATCGCGGCTTGTCCGTTGTGCTATGACTTTGTGGTTGTGTGTTAATGGACTCATTTGAAGGGCCTCTCCACAGCGGCCTTGTCTTCTGTTGAGAGATTTCATCTCTCTGTAAAAGTCATGTTTTCTTGTTTCAGTGTGATTCCCACTTTAAAAATAAAATAAGGCACTGCCTTCAAGGAACCTATTGGGAGAAGGGCAGAGAATGTGCTGAGAACAAGAAAGGAAACAAAGAGCTCTGGTTTTAAGAATCCAAAGGGTCTTCCCAAAGTTGGTGGGAAAGTTCCACGATCTCTCAATTCCAGGGATCTTCCAAGAATAAGCAAATATTTTCAAGCCTGTGCTGAAGACTTTAAAAAAGTCTTATTTTCTGTGTAGGTCTCTGAGAGAAGATGAATCTGGCGGAGATTTGTGACAATGCCAAGAAAGGAAGGGAATATGCACTTCTTGGGAATTATGACTCATCCATGGTCTACTACCAGGGGGTGATACAGCAGATTCAGCGGCACTGCCAGGCCGTCAGAGACCCGGCTGTCAAAGGCAAGTGGCAGCAGGTAAGAGCACACTGACCTCGTCGGTGCCTGGGGACAGCGGCCTGGGACTTGAGAGGCTGGAGCAGAGAGATGAGTTTGCGACTTTGCCAATTGTCCGATTTCTCTGACTGCCCACTGCAGCCTAGTGCATTCCAACGCACAGCGACACTACAGGACCGAGTTGAGCTGCTTCTTAGGGTTTGTGAGAGGTGCAGCTTTTCGGAAGCAGACAGCCTCCACGGTCGCCCTCGGAGCAGCTGGTGGGTTCGAACCGCTGACCTTTTGGTTCACAGTCCAACACTTAACCCACTGTGCCACCAGGACTCCTGATTGATCTAAATATGAACTGCATTAAATAAGTTCCTGAAGACTCAACCTTGTTAATATGTTTGATAGTTCTGATCATATACTTCGCGAGGCATATTTTAAAGATAATTCGATTTGAATTGAGCCTGTTTTTATTTTTTTTTATTTCCATAATCAGTGATTTAGATTTATCCTTTTCCCACTCTTCATCTTCCTAAGCAGTTTTGACCCACTTCAAAAACCTCTTCCCATAAGAAATTTTCCTCATCTTCTGAAAGCCTCCCTACGAATCCAAATGAGTCAGGGATTTATTTCATCCTAAGCGCTGATACACGGAGTCCTAGGGCGGCGTGGCAGCATCAGCATTGGACTGCCAGCTGCAGGCTCGGCAGTTCAAACCCCACCATCTGCTCCTCGGAAACCCTATGCAGGATCGCTACAAGTCGGAACCGACTCGACAGCACTTTCCAACAACACCACCGCTGATACCTGTGGTGTCTCTTGACTCTACAGCTGGATGACACCATCACACAGAGAATGTGAATTTGAACTGTAGTTTCCTCATGTGGCCTTAAATCATTTTAAGATTAAGCATACCAAGTCAGGCATTTCTCTGAAGTTTCCATTTTATGTACTGAGGTCTTTCAAGCTTTTCTTCTGAGTTTTCCATACACCTGAGGTTGTTTTATTAAGTTTTGTGAGTAAGTCTGACATATTTTTCGACTTAAGTGTTACCAGATTATCTTGAGTGAGGGTGGCGTAGCTGAAGCCTAACATTACGGTGATTTCTCTCATCTCCTTCCTACTAGTTACAGGCAGGTTGCTTTGTTCATCGGCAAGACTTTTGACATGCTCCTAATGGTAGGTGTTAAATGGGAACTTTTTTAGTCAGGCGTTTCTTTAGAGTTTCTTTCCAAAAGGCCCTGGCATTTAATTTCTCCTGTTTTCGTGCATTATCAGGTGCTATGGTGGTGCCTTGGGTTAAGCATTAGGTTGCGAAACTCAAGGTCAGCGAGTGACCCCCTGAGCCACCCCTGCAGATTCACGCCCTCAGAAACCCTCTGGGCAGTCCTACGCTGCCCTGTACGGTCACTGTGTGTCAGAACCACCTGCTAGCACTGGGGTTTGGGTTTGATAGTGTATTATGTTGTTGTTAAGTGCCGTCAAGTTGGTTCTGATTTATAGTGACCCTGTATAGGGTTTGAACTGTCAACCTTGTGGTTCAAAGTCCAGCGCTGCTCCTCCAGGGCCACCCCAGGACTCCAGTGTATTATATAATTGCATCTAATAATAGTTGACTTTTACATGGATTTGTGTGTGCCTGCAGCTCCTCTCTGGGTCCCTTTTCGTGGTATTATTAAAAATGAAGGGAAGTTGCTCATGTGTTGCTTTACAGGGAAATGCGCTATTTTAAAAAAAAAAAATTGTTAAAAAGACTTTGTAGATATCATTTTCAATCTGTTACTGGTTTGCCTTTGAAAATTAGCCACGGACCAGAGTTTGGAATGATAAGAATTTGCACATAGTCGGTACTCAGTTATGTTTATTTTTTTTTAAATATAGCCAACATCTTGCTTTTGAGCTCAAAATAAACTGTATCCTTAACTTGAAAGAATTCAGGTGAAAGGAATTTAAATAAGAATTGGAAGAGTTACCTCCACAGTAATGAACTGCTTTAGGCTTTCAGAAAGAAGCTGGGGGCAGGCATTCACTGGCTCAGTGATATTGGTGATGCGAAATGCTGGTGAGAATTTGGCTGCAATTTTTGGAATCTACTTAAATAACTGTATTAAAGGGATTTAAGCTAATAGATTTCTGGGAAATTGTTACTGACTTAGTTGCTTGTTTGAACTGTATTTATAGTCACCACTTTCTTTGGTAGAAATAGAATTTCATTTTGAAGATATACATCATTACTTCCCATGTGAACAGGTATAAAACTAGTTATTTTTTCAAACCAACCACACATTCTTATCTATTTAAACTGTTGAACTGTTTTTTATTTGTAGGAGTGGGGGACTGTTTGAATGTGGATTTTCTACACTTGGAATGTGTAGAAAACTTTCACTCTAGAGATCGATTTATTATTTTCAATTTACACACGTTTCATACTGTTTCTGACAAAGAGCTTATGTCTTTTAAGGTTCGGCAGGAATTATTGGAAGAATACGAGCAAGTTAAAAGCATTGTCAGCACTTTAGAAAGTTTTAAAATTGACAAGCCCCCGGATTTCCCTGTGTCCTATCAAGACGAACCGTTCAGAGATCCCGCTGTGTGGCCGCCTCCTGTTCCTGCTGAGCACAGGTGAGTGGGCTGAACCGTCTTCTCATCAGAGTGGGCCATGATTTGAGCCAAGACAGAAAAAGGATCATGAAGGGTGTGTAAAATCATAGTGTCTGTTTATAACTTTCACACCCATAGGTTTAAATAGGGAGCCCTGGTGGCACAATACTTGAAGTGCTCATGCTAATTGAAAGGTTAATGGTTTAAATCCACTCACTAGCTCCTCCGAGGGAGGGTGATGAGGGAGGTGGTTTGCTTCCAGAAAGCTGATCCAGCCTTGGAAATGCTTTTCTGGGTGGAGGGCTTTCTGAGTCAGAACTGGTCCCACAGCAGTGGATGCAGTTTTGCACTGAGTTAATACCTGATAAATGAGGTCAGAAGTTGATCTTCTGTCATATGGCTTGCTTTTAGAATGCTTATTACTTTAATAATAACAAAAAAAGCTCCTCCTGGTCCTGAAAATGGTTCGTTAAGGTAATTTTCTTAAAGTTTTTATAATGGTAACATCAAAACTAAAACCATTTCCTTTTTTAAGACTCTAACAACTTAGCCCCTTCAAGTCTGAATTATTTTCTGCTTTGCATGTTTTGTAGAAACCATGTATTTTGAGTAATGGAAGGCATTTAAGATGAAATGCAATTCTTCTGAGTAATGGATTACTATGCAATTAATGGACTCCATCTGTCCTGAGGCGTCTCTGGTCCTGGGGTTGGTGGGATGAGGCCCGGATCTTCAGATTCATGCAGACCCCATGCCAGATGTCAGCACACACTAAAAGTGGGATGCTGGCTTCCCACTGAATCCCTTAAGTTGGAAATCTAAGTGGGCACCATGTATTCTGTAGGCCATGAATGGGTTAAATGGAAAGGTGGGGAATTGGATTCACCTGGTTAGGCTTACAGGCGTCCTGGTGATGCAGCAGGTTAAGTGTTGGACTGGTAACCAAAAAGTCTATCGTTTGAACCCACCAGCTGCTCTTTGGGAGAATGATAATGCTGTCTGCTCCCGTAAAGATTTACAGTCTCAGAAAGCTTATGGGGTCATCCTGCTCTATCCTACAGGGTCCTATGAGTTGGGCTGGACTCCATGGCAGTGGTGGGTGAGGGTAGGCCTCCAGCCAGTCTCCAGTGTTGGGAGGAGCCGCAGAAATAATGTTGCTTTAGGGCGCGAGGTGGGATTCTTTGGTGTGACAGGTGAGGCTCTAGGTTTTCCTCCGAGCTTCTGATGCCTACTCATCATCAACATGTGACCTCTCGTCTTCCTCTTGCCTGTCTTCGTGCTGTGCGTGCACCACTCTTGCTCCTAGGAGCACCCTCAATCCTGTCTCTTAATGGAACCGCTCTCACTTCCTCCGCCGGCTCCCGTGTGCGCAGGTGCGCCGCTGCCTGCACCTGTCTTGACTTCTTACGAGGAGGCTAGAAGCTCTTCAGGACTAGCCAGGACCGTGGTTGCATTCACTTCAAGAAAAAGCAAAACAGAAACCAGACAAATGCAGCAGCAAAATGCCGCAGCCTCCCCACACACTTGAAGCAACATTGAATGAACCGCTTTTAGTTTCAGAGCGCGGAGCGTGAGGCTGCCAGCCTCTGGGCTGGGTCCTTCTGCTGTGTCTGCGCTTTATGTCTGTGGAATGGGCCCAGGGCCCTGGGAACAAGTTCTCTTTGGCCAGCGACTATGACTATCCTGTTTAGCTTGTTGATCTCTTGAATTTTTATATAAGAGCAAAGAATTTCGAGAACTGTGAAAAATGTTTAATTTATCCCCTTAAGATTCTATCCACTGAATTACTGATAATTTTGTGTCCCTGGTGGCTCAGTGGGTAAGCAGTGGGCTGCTAACCAAAAGGTCAGTGGTTGAACCCACCAACCTCTCTGGGAACCAGATGAGGCTGTCTGCTGTACGTCTACAGTCTCAGAAACCCTGTACAGGGTCGCTGTGTTGGGATCTACATGATTCAATGGCAGTCGGTACAGTGCATACCAAGGAGCATGGTGGCGCACTGGTTAGTCGTTCAGCTGCTGATGGAAAGTCAGTAGTTTGAACCCACCATCCGCCTGAGGGAGAACGATGAAGCTGTTGGCTTCTGTGAAGATGAGCAGTTTCAGAGACCCTGGGGGTGGGGTGAGGGCAATTGTACCTTGTCCTGTGGGACAGTGGTTGGCTTGTTTTGTGGGTGTTGTAAAAGCACTAGCTGATGAGAGTTCTTTAATGTCTGCAACAAGGAATGCCATGCTTTCTTCAGATGTGCTCACTTTCAGGTCTCACGGGAGAAGGTAACCTTTGTCCCTCAAAAGGCAATGTCTGAAGAGTCAAAGGAGTGATTTCAGAATAACCACTGAGAACAAAGAAAGACTGGCATTTTGAGCCATCAGCATCTTGTACTTCATGTCTGTGTCTCTGCATGGATGATAGAATACCTTGGGGTTTTCTGAAAGTCGGTAATTCAGAAATTCTAGTTTAAAACTAAGGCTGCCAGTAACGTTTAATCTTGGAAACACCTGTTTTGAGTTGCAAGTGCTCCAGCGGCCACAGATGGGTTTTGATATTTGAAGCTCAGACAGTTATGGTTTTGTATTGATGCATTGCTTACCTGATAACATTTCATTGTTGTTGTTAGGTGTTGTTGAGGTGTTTCTGACTCAGAGACACCCTGCCCCTGTATTTAGGATTTCTGAGGCTATATACATTTGGATTTCTGGTTGTATATCGCTGTGGGAGCAAAAAGCCGCATCTTTCTCCCAGGGAACTGCTGAGACACTAACTCAGTTGTTTATTTTCCTTTGGCCTCTTTTTACAGTTCATGATAGATCTGATTTATTTTTCAACTTGTTTCTTAATCCTTATTCTTAATAAAGCCGAAAGCTAACTGGACTAGAATATATTTCTGTGTACCTCCTTTCTCCTTTATCTACACTTAAAAAAAACAAAAAAATACCTTCCCTTGCACAGAGCCATTGTACATGTCTTACCCCTCCCTAGCACACGGAGCAGAAATCCCTATTAAAAACAGTTATACACTGTGTTGTTGTTAGGTGTCACTGTGTTGGTTCTGACTCACCCCAACCCCTGAAACAGCGAAGGAAGCTGCCGGTCCTCACAGTCTTCTGGTTTTTCAGTCATTACTGACAAATGCCTCAAATCTATTCTTCAGATGGCCTCGAAATTCCAGGGGGAGATGTTCAAAGTCATATTTTGGCTCTTACAGATTTATTCTAATTTTCTTCAGCTTTAGCCTAAACTTGCATATGAGCAATTGATGGTGTGTTCCATAGTCTACCCCTGGTCTTATTTTGGCTGATGATGTGGAGCTTTTCCACGCTCTCTTCCCACAGGTATAGTCCGTTTAACTTCTGCGTGTTCCAACTGGTGAAGTCCACTTGTATGGTCATCTTTCATTTTGTTTAAAAAAGGCATTTGCAAATGAGTAAGTCCTTGTTCTTGCAAAGTTCTGTCATGAGGTCTCCAGCATTGTTTATATATACATATATATATCCAAGACAGAATTTTCCAACTATTGATCGTACTACCTCTTGGTTTCCAAACTTTGCCTTCTAATCACCACTAATTATCAGTACATCTTGATTGCATGATTGATCAGTTTCCAAGTTGGCAGCAATCTTCAGTTTCATCATTAATGACTTTAGTGAGTGATGCATAAATCGGAGTAATAGTGATGTTAACGGGTCTTCCTTGTAGGTGTATGGATAATCCTGTATCACAGACAGCGCCATACATCAAGATAGTTCTTTTTTTTTT